GCAATTTAGCGCTGGAGGCGAGGGTGGAGGCGGCGTGGGCGGTGGCGAGGGCGGTGGTGTGGACGTGGTCGAGGGTGGAGTCGGTGTGGGTGCCGTCGCGTAGATAGCTGCCTCTGCTTGGCGAGCCGCCAACTCTGCCTGGCGAGCTGCCGCCGTCAGCCTCTCAAACGGTATCTCAGTCTCATTGTGTTTGTGGCTTAATACAGTTGCTATTAAACCAATGCCGTCATACGCAGCCGTCTTCATTTTCCCCAACCAATCGCCTGGATTTTTCCACACTAGCGCAATCGCAACACCAGCGACTAGAAGAAGAATGAGTTTGCCCGCTACATCCCAGACCCACCATCTAGATGGTTGCTCCTTTGGAGGGGGAGAAGGCGCGGCCACTTGGTTAGATGCGCACATGTCTACATCGTAGACAGCGCACAAGTTGTTAGCCAGTGGGTCTACATTGTGCGCCTCAAACATCCTCAATTCCTTTTAATGTGAGCAAAAAAAATCATGTGTGGCCATGTGTGTATACCTATTCTTGCATTGAGGCTACGCTCGTGCACCCTCTGTCACTATTTCGAGTAGCGTCGCCACCGTATCCTTTTGCTCTTTCCACTCCTTCTTCCCTTCAGTAGCTGTTACTGTACGAAATGGAGGGTCGTATTGAAACTCTCGCTCCATAGCCTTCTCAACGTCGTCTACAAATCCAGAATATGGCAGGAAAGCCACATCCGTGTGTGCCTCGGCGGCTTCCTCGAGGTAAACAAACAGACTTGTAAATAGATCGATTTCAATTAGGAACTTGCCCAGACATTTTGCAGTGTTTCGTTTGTTTTTCAACGCGGAGAATTCGTCAAACAACTTTCTTAGATTGCTGCCTGCCGCAGGCTTGGGAGAAGCACCGTCATACACCTTGACGTCTATCGTATCCGCTTGGCGTCGGGGCGAGATTTCTCCCTTTTCAGGCTTTATCAGAAAATTATTGCGCCACACTTGAGCAAGCGCGTGACTCACGCCATCCTCCTCTAGGTCCTCTATTCCAAAACGATCTGCGGACAGACAGGGACCCAATCTGTAGGAGTGGGCTTTGTGTAGTGGGTAGGTAAACCGCAAGCGAGGATCCAGATACATTTCCTCTTTATTCTTGAATTGTTGGTTTAGTCTTGCCGTCTTCCTCTCAATCTGCTCATTCATAGCAGGTAGAATGCTCTGAGGGGCATAGCGCCTTTTCGCCCTAAGTTGGACAAGTTCCGCCAGCAGCAGCTTTCGTTCATTATTTTTTTCCACCTTCTTTGCGTTTAGTTTCAGGAAGTGCTCGTTAGCGCCTTTGACAGGCCTGCCCGTACGAGCCGCTGGCCTATCAGCTGTGGCGTCTGCATTCGGAAGACCAGATCTCTTGTTGTCGTCTCTCGGCTTCCGCCTCATGCACTGATTCAACTCGACATAGCCTAGCAGGTATCGGATACTAGCCACGCGGAGCAGGTCCTCGCGGAGGTCCGAGACGAGCGACCGTGGAGGATTGCCACCAGCATCACTCAATCGCTTGTACTGTGACGCGTCCTGCAGCAATGCAAGCGTCGCGCTCTTGAGGGAGTCGAGAAGACTAGCGATACGCTCCCTGTCGATGCTGGATGCTTGGATATCACAACCACCCGCATTCGCTGCTCCCAATGATGTTCTTAGCACCGAGTCCTTGAGGGGAGATGCCATCTTACGCATGAGCGTCTCGTCGAAGAGCACGCTCAACGGATGCCCCTCTGGCAGCACGTGTTCTTCTTTGCTCAACAACTTGGGCAAATACCTCTCTGGCGTCTTCTGACGTACAGCATCTATTGCTTTGTGTCGCTTGCTTGACTGAGGAGTCGGAATGAGACTCATTTATTCATAGGTAGGAAAAAAGTCATGTGTGCTCATGTGTGAATTCAGAATGCTCTCGCGATGTGTGAATTCAGAATGCTCTCGCGATGTCCGTGTCGTCGAGAGCGGACGCGCTAGCCGCGCCACACCCTGAGGCTCGCCGGCCCCGAGGCCTCGAGGCACTGGCACTGAGGCTCGCCCGCCCCGAGGCCCATGGGTCCAATATAAGCAAAATTCAGAAATTCAGTTTTTTTGGGAGAAATTCTTCAGAAAATCTTGGCCCCTCGGGGACCCTGCCCTGGGACCCAAAAAATTATATTTCAAATTTTTCCCAAAAAAACTGAATTTCTGAATTCTTGCGTTTATATTGGCACCTGCGACCAGACCCTACAAAAAATATTCCAACAATTTCCCCCAAAAAACTGAATTTCTGAATTCTTGTGACCCGGACCCTCCTTCAAATCATATATTCCTCCTCTCTCCTCCCTCCCGCCTCTGCCCCGGCCGCCTCTCTCCTCCCTGCCTTCTCTCTCCTCTCAGCCTTCTTCTCTCTCCCCTGGCCGCCTCTCGCCCTCGCCCGCCTCCCGCGCCGCGACCGCCCTCACGACTGACGCCCTCACCGCCGCTCTCCCAGGCGGCTGTGCAAGTGCTCGGTGCCTGAGCTGTAGAGGCCGCATACAGACTCGCCTCATGACTTCGTTCATGTTTAAAGCATAGCTCCAGCAGAATAGTTTGTTTGAAACTCATCAAGACTTGGAGCAACTAGCGGCGAGCGCTCGGATGGGTCGGGACGTGCCTATGCAGGGCACGGAGAGAGACCCAGTCAGAGAGAGAGAGAGAGAGAGAGGAGAGAGTCACTTGGAGCATTTGGAGTGCTTTCGCGCAAATTCTTTCTAGAGAAAAGCGAAACGGATGGATGCCGCCCGCACATATGGCGGCTGGGTGACGCGAGCGGTACCATATGGTGGGGTGGTCTGACACCGGAGGCCGCCGCGCGGCCGGCTGCCGCCTCCAGCCGCCTCAGAGCGGTCATCGATGACGTGAGGCCGCGCCTTGCGAGAACAGTCCAGTCAGTCGACACCGCTTCAAGACTTGCAAACTTAGAGGTTTGAGTCCTCCCACCCCCTCCTCCACCGCCGCCGCCTCCACCTTCTTCCCACCCCCTCCTCCACCGCCCTCGCCACCTCCGCGCCCATACCCGGCCGAGCACGCGCGCCGCCGCCGCCTCCATCTCTCCCAACCCTGTCCTCCACCACGCCACCTCGCCTCACCACTCTTCCTTACCCACTCCGTCGCCCTTGCCCCCCCCCCCCCCCCCCCCCTCCCCCCACAGGACAGAAAGAATGACACCCGCGGAGGTGGTCGCACAGTCCGCTCGTTGCGTAAACGAGAAGCTTCGAGGTGGACGCAGCGTTGAATCGTATCGCAACGCCATGACCATCCAGTTACAGCGAGAACTTGGCGCTAACCTCCAGGTAAAGCCGAGAATTGATGTTCTGTATGATGGACATGTACTACGATGTGTATTACCGGACTTTGTCATCACTGGACCACGCGGCTTCATTCTTCAGATCAGTGTACCTCCTGCCTATGTCTATCCGGGTGTCTGTGACAAGTCGGACGCTATTGATTGTGCGCATCGATTGCCGACGCGCTGCAGCAGCAGCAGGGCGCGCTGCAGCGGCTGCTGCCGTCGGACGAGCTGCCCTCGCTCTCGCCCGACAGCGAGATTCACGACCGCGGACTCCTCGTGGACGCGGACTTTGCTCGAGCGGCCGGCGTGACGCACGACCCGAGCGAGCCGCTATCCGTAGTCATCAGCTCGCTCGGCCCGGCGCAGCCACCCACCTTGCGCGACCCGCCTGGCATGCAGCTCGGCTCCGCCTACGGGCAGAGCCGTGCCGGCGCTGCCGCTCTCGCTGACGCTTCGACCTCCTTATCCCTCTCCGCCATTCCCGCTCCCGCTCTCTCCTGCTCCACGCCTGCCTCGGCGACGCCCTCGCCCCCCGGCTTCGCCGCATCCCCGTCCGCTGCCGAGCAGCCGATCGCCGAGTCCGCCGGTTTCCCCGTCATCCTCCGTCCTGCTTCGGAGCCGTCGCTGGGCGGACCGTCGGGGACGCAGCTGCAGCACACGACGCCCGGCCAGGAGGTCTTCTCTCTCGCAGCCCGCTTTCCCACCCTCGTCGTCAACTACGTCGGCGCTAGAGAGCGACGCGAGGAGTTCTGCGCCGCGATCCTCGAGGCCAAGGAGATGGCGCGCGGCCACGGCTCGGCGCCAGCGTGGCGGAGCGATTTGGTTCCAACAGCGGGGGCAGACGCGTCCGAGGAGGAGAAGAAGCGCGCGGTGAAGGATAAGAATGCCTTCAACAGCAAGGTGTCCGCCTTCAAGCTGCTGCTCGACGCGATTGTCCTCGACTCGGGCGCGCTGAAGCCAGGCGGCGTCGACTACCCGTCCATCACCCGCTGCATCCGCCTCCTCTCCGGCACGACGGGCGCAAAGAAGTGGGGGGAGGAGGTGCGCAAAAGCTACGAGAACGGCGCGGACGGGTACGGCGAGAAGTCCGCTGCGCGCGCTGCATATGAGGGTGTGCGGGGAGGGTCCGAGGAGGAGAGGCTCGCTGCGGCTCGCTCCTTCCGCGATGCGGTGCTGGATGCGCTCCGTGAGGAGCCGTCGCTGTCGTCCTTCGCAGACGCGGGCGGCGCGCCGGGCGCCGCGTCTTCATCGCTGACGCCGCTCAAGCGTGGGCGAGATGAGTCGGTGCTGGCGCGGTTCCTCGCCGTTGATCCCGGCGCGAGCGAGCGCTCCGCCACGGGAGTGGCTGACTTCACCTTCGCCGACGGCCTCTGCTCCTCCATCCGCGCCACCTCCTTCATGCCGCGCGGGACGCACGTCCAGAAGAAGAAGCGGGTGGCGACGGAGATCTCTGCACTGCTCGACGCCGTCAAGCCGGTCTGCGTCTTTCTGGAGGAGTGCTATCCCCCCGTGGGTGGGTATAAGTACAAGCTGATGGAGCTGAACCACGCGCTTCGCTTTGCCGTCGTGGAGGCGTGCGAGGAGAGGGACGTGCCGTGCTACATGGTGCACTACCCCCACTGGCCCACCGCCCCCCAACCCTCCGTCTCACTCTCGTCACAGTCACCCCACCCCTCCCCCCGCCAGGTGAACGCGTCGACGTGGCTTTCGCACATCGGCGTGAGCTACCCCAGTGGTGCTAAAGACGAGGCCAAGAAGAAGTTGGTACTTGTCGGCGCGGAGCCGAAGGGGGGAGGGGAGAGGGGGGGGCTGCTATCGGCACTCGGCCTGCGGCACGACTCCATCCCGTTCGACATGAAGCGACACGATGCAGCCGACGCCGTCGCGATCGGGCTGGCCGGGCTGGCTGGCAAGCGAGACGGCTACAAGAAGGAGAAGCACGTCGTCACGATCAAGCCCCGCCTGCCTGAGGGCAGCTCTGAGCCGCCGCGTCTCGGCTCCCCCTCACAACTCGAATTTGTCGAGCTCTCACAGCTCTAGAGTGTCCGGTACCCCCCCTAACGTGCTGTCATGTTCTGGGGGGCAGCTAGTACGTGCATACGATACGGCTCTGTAAGGTCGGGACGTATTCTCACCGATGTGGCTCGGTGCGCCTACCTTCCACAGAGTGGATTCTGCAGGACCGTACCCGTGGTACGGCGCGCCGGGCGCCGGGCGGCGCGCCCGATTCGGTCCATGTTGACCATGTCGGTCGAACCCACCCCGGGCCGCGAATTTGGCAAGTGTATTGAAAACGACTTTTTGATGATGAAATACATACATGCAGTGTAGCGCCTGCCGCTACTGTACGCGCGGCGCGCATCCCCCTCTCTCGCCCTCCACGGCCGCTCAGCGGCGCAACGCAAAATGTCTCCCCGTCGGCCGTCACGCGAGCAAGCGGGCGACTGTGGGCGACGGAGCCGCTGCGCCGTCGGGGCGACGGCGGCGGCGGCGATGGCGGCAGCGGGTCGGGCGGCTGCGGCGGCGGTGGCGGTGGTAAGGGTGGCGGCAGCGCGGGCGGGGCAGCGCGGGCGGCGGCGGCGGAGGCGGTGGGGGTGGCGGGTGACGGTGGAGGCGGCGAGGGAGGCGGCGGGCTCGGAGGCGGCGGCGAGGGCTGCGGCGGCAAGGGCGGCGGCGGCAAGGGCGGCGGCGGCGAGGGCGGCGGCGGCGGCGAGGGGGGAGGCGGCAGGCTCCGATGCGTGGCGAGGGCGACGGCGGCGAGGAGGCGGCGGTGACGCGGAGGCGGACTGGGCGGCGGCGACGACGGCGGTGGTGGGCTTGGTGGGGGGCGGGCTGGGGAGGCAAAGCGACAGCGGGGGTGCGACGGCGGAGGAGGCGCCGGCAGAGGGGGCGGTGGCGGGCTCGGTGGCGGCCGGTGGTCGCCACGGTGGTGGCAAAAAAGAATGAGGCCGGCGCGGTGTGATGGCGCGGCCGTTGGGCGCGCCCCGGGTCCCTCTCCGAACAGCGACAGGCAGCGAATTCTGGGGGCTTGGTGACGCGTGCGCTGCGTGGCGATTACAGCGGCGAGTTTTGGAGGGCGCGCTGGCGCGGCGCGCAGGCCACTCAGAGGCTGATGTTGGGGTCGGAAGGCTGGCGGGAGAGGAGGCGGGGAGAGTCTGGGGCGACCGGTAGTCGATGCGAGGGTGCGGTGGCAGTCTGGCGAGCGTTGGGAGGCAGGACTGCTCTGACCAGCCACGCGCGGCGACCTGGTGAGCCAAGACCGGTACACCCCCCTGTGCTCGGCTCGGAGCTTCCGCCCACAGTGAGCATGTGCACTGCTCTTGACAACTACAACGTGCTGCGCTACCTCCGCGTACTCGTACGCAGCCGCCTTGCCGAGGACGCTGGCGGCGGCGGCAATGCCGACGCAACTGCTGTGGACCGCTTCCTCGCGGCGCTGATGGCGTGGCTCAAGCTCTTCACGAAGGTGGAGAAGTCTCAGAGCGACCACGCTCGGCTCCGCGGCCTCAGGGCGATCTACATGCGCTGCGGCAAGGCAGCCTTTGGCGGAAGCTTCGGCGAGACTTCAAAAAATCACGACGCATGCTGATCCACCACAGCCTTTGCCTCCTTAGTCTTGCCGCGCCGCTGCTGGTGGGGGGGGAGGCGGCGCTCGGATCGTCGTAAGCAGCGCAACTTCGCGCCCAGAGCTCGTGGCGCGAGCAGATGCATGCGCGGTGCTGAGCACCTGATTCTCCAGAAGGGGCAGGCCGCAAGGAGAGACCTCTCGCGAGCACTCAAGGCAGGGCCAGGGGGTGCCGAGAGATCACACCGCCTTCGTGCTCCCCCCTCGGTGCCCGGTGCACCCGACACACGGTGTCTCCTGAGACGCTTCCCTGTCCAAGTATAGTAAAATGTGATCTAGTATGCAATTGCCATCTCAGAACAGCTGTGCATCTATAGATGCTTGTGGCGTCTAAGATGGAACGCGTAACACGAAAAGACACGGCGCGGCTATCTCCAGGACAGCCGTCGCATCCTAGAATGCCCTGTGTACCCGAGACACATGGTATCTTTGAGATGAAAAGTGCGTCCTAGAATGCGTTTTTGCATTCTAGGACGCATCGGTTAAACAAAGATGGGGGGGTCGCCCCCCCAGACGCCGCATGGCCAATCGCTTCCCCACCCCGGTCACTCGCGTCACTCTCCGCCCCCTTCCCCTCCATCCGTTGCCTCTCGTGGCTGGCAGCTCACGCTGACCGAAGCCCAAATGCTCGACCCACCCCCCCTCCCCCCTCAAGTAAGTGTGTCTGCCGTGCCAGCGTCTGAACAGAGAGCGACTTCGCGGATTGAAAGAGCAGTGAACAGAGAAAGATAGGAAGAGGCAGACGCGTATGCAGTTTTTCTTTCCCCCTGTGTTAGTGCCAGTGCGCGCCAGTCCCGTGCCCAGTGTTGTGCGAGGGAGTGGTTTTTGTTTCTAAAATTCTTTTCCCGCCAGCCACTCGGGGAAAAGGTGTGTAGACCCCAAATCGGGTCCGGACTTCGGACCCGATTACGCTGCCGCCTCGCGCGCGCCGCTGCTGCCCTCGCCGGCAGCCGCCGCGGTCGCAGTGCCATCGTGCGGACTGGCGGTCGACTCGCCACATCGATTTCAACTCACGCGACGCGCTCGGCCTCCGCTGGCGGCTGCCGCAAGAGCGGCTGGCTCACGGCAGCGTCTCGCCGGTTGCCGGATAGGAGAGTACAGAACGTCTGGAGTGTAACTGTGTACGTGAGATCGGTTTTGATAACAAGCACGGTCGATCCGTCAAAGCGATACACTCGTTCCTATCTCGCTGGAGGGCTGGCACGGAGCTCTGTGCCGACAAACAGGAAGAGCCGAGCGGCAAGAAGGGCTCGATGGGGAGCGAGAACCGTCAAACGTGCTCACGGAGGTTTCGGAAGTCCACCCTGATGCGGTCGGTTCCCCCCCGGTTTGAACGCGCAGCTCGCAAGACTCGTCGAGCACTCGCAGCCTCTCTGCGCCTCTCATGCTGCCGCTCTGCGGGATGTTCAGTCTTTCCGGAAGATATCGTCGAGTTTTGGAAGCTGCGCGGTCAAACCTGGGGGGAAACAAGAGCGTCACGACGGACTTCAGGTTACACCTGAAGCTCTTCTGACGGTTCTCGCTCCCCATCGAGCCCTTCTTGCCGCTCGGCTCTTCCTGTTTGTCGGCACAAAGCTCCGTGCCAGCCCTCCAGCGAGATAGGAACGAGTGTATCGCTTTGACGGATCGACCGTGCTTGTTATCAAAACCGATCTCACGTACACAGTTACACTCCAGACGTTCTGTACTCTCCTATCCGGCAACCGGCGAGACGCTGCCGTGAGCCAGCCGCTCTTGCGGCAGCCGCCAGCGGAGGCCGAGCGCGTCGCGTATCGATCGAGCTCGCGATCCGGGCCGTGGAGCCCACGAGGAAGACTTCGTCTGCTGGGACGGAGTCCCGACGCTCGCTGCGTCCGCCGGAACTGGGGTCTGCACACCTTTCGTGGCCGCGTCCCGCAGTGGAGGCCGCTGCCCACCTCTGGGCCGCGTTGGATATCCACCTCGAGAACCTCGAGAGAGAGTGGACGCGTGGGGTATATGCTCCTCACCGACCTGTCTGCTGACAATCTCGAGGAAGTTGTGCGCCACTGCGACGCGAGCGCCTTCCTCAACCTGCAGGCGGCGTGCCACACGTTCCAAGATTTGGACGCCCGCCTGGTGCAGCGCGTCTGGCGGGAAATCGCGCTCGCCGCGATGGACAAGCCTTGGCTCGCACAGGACGCGGCTACGGCCGTCGACTGGAAGCGCCGCTACAAGGTCCTGATGCGCGCTGGCTGCCGCCTCAAGCTGCCTACGGTGTCCATCGAGGAGTTGCGCCGCGAGTACACCTTCCATCTCGACGGCCCCTATGTCGACGGCCCCTACCAACCCGCGATCGCCTCCCTGACTGGCACCGCTCGCGCAGCCAATTCGGACGCGGAGGCCGACGAAGGCCATCATGAAAGTGTCACTGATGCCATCTTCCTCGATTTCAAAGGCGACGCAAGCGGAATGGTTGTACGACCCGCCTATGCTCAACGACACATTCGACGGGATGTCCAGGTGTACATGCTACACGTGCGCCGCGCTTCGGACGGCAGAGTGGCGCACCTTGCCACATTTGATCTGAGGGAGAGGGACGAGATCTACCACGAGAACCATTCATGCACCGTGTTTCGCAGCGGCCAGGCCGGCAGCGGAAGCCCAGATTGCCCGTGGCACTCGATTCCAGGCACACATTACTCGGCCCGTTTCCCAGCGCCACCGTGGCTTGGCATGGTGGAGGAGGCGGGCAATCGCGTCGAAGCCCGAGATGGCAACGCCCGCCTGAAGGTGACGGTGTGGCCGATTGAGTCTGCCCAAGAGCAGCCTGAGGCTGAGAGCGAGAGCGAGGGCGAGGAGCCCCGCTTCTGCTGCTGGGGCGAGAAGGGCTGCAGCATTGAGCTGAAGAAGCACACGTGCGACGTGCCTTACATTGACCACACGAACTTCATGGGCGCGGCGAGCGCCACATTCCCGATCACTCTCGGCGAGTTCCCGGCGGTGCTGCGCGCGCTCGAGTGGGCCTAGGATTGGGCGCTTGAGAGTGATCTGCCTTGTTTGCGGACTGCCACGCCAGAGCCTGCCTGCCCGTGCCGGAGCGAGGCACGCGAGGAGCATGTGACGAGGAGGGGCCTCGCGAACGTCGCGACATTACGTAGTGTGGCTGTGGGGTCCAGGGCGCAGGGGTCCCCGCTGGCCGCGCGCTGGGGGTCGGTTTGGGTGGTACGCACGTCTCGCTTGCCTGGGCGGTCGTGGGCAGCTATCAATTAGAATTTTACAATCAATTAGAATACCGCTGGGTGGAGGGCAATAGCGGGCAAATGGCGACGGTGGTGTTGTGTGGCGATGGCCATGGTGGCAGGCGATATGTCAATTGTCATATAATGTCAACTTGTTGGATTTCGGGATTTGTGAATTGTGAACACTAAAGAAAAAAGCGCTACACTCAACGTACAATGATGTCAATGAGATGCATCGAGCGGCGGCCCCCTCGCGCCTCGGCACTTGGGAGTCCCGACCGGGGCGCCACTCTTTTGTCGCGGCCCGACGTGTCCAGCACCCATGTATGCCCCGTCCCATCTCTGATGCCCGTAGATGCGCCTCGCTCTCGGGAGCAGCAGCGACTCGGCCTTCCCGCGAGCCCACTACACGTACCTGTCGTCCCTGTTGCCTCAGTGCGTCATCGGCTCGGGCTGCGGCTGCATATTCTCGACCTGCTGCATCATCTCGCCAGACGAGACGCCACACTCCGCCGGCTGGGGCAGCGACGGCGGCACGTTCTCGTTCGGCAGCGAGGGCGGCAGCGACGGCGGCATCTGCCAATCGATCTGGTAGCGCGTGACTCGCGGTTTTTCCGCGAGGATGGTTCGGACCAGCCGGTCGTGCAGCGGCGGCTCGGGCGGGCTCTCGTTGAGCTCGGGCGCGTCGTACTCGTTGTTGACGTAGTAGCCTGCCTCACAACCGCCGCGTCGAGGGGGCGGCGCGCGGGGGAGGGGGGGGGGGGGGGGGGGGGCAGCCCGCGCGAGAGGCTCGCGCGCGAGGGGCTGGCGGCGCGAGAGCTCGCGCCGCGAGGGCAGTCGGCGCGAGGCTGGACTGCTGGCAAGGGGCTGTGGCTGGCAAGGGGCGCTGTGCGCGCCTATCCGGATGAACTCGCGCTCGCGGAAGAAGCCGCTGAGCAGGATCACCTGGGCGTGGCAGGAGGAGGAGGGATGGGGTGTAGAGAGGAGAGCTCGGCCCGTGACCACCTCGCGCCGCCTTGCACCCCCGCAACCGCTCTCCCCTCGCCCTGCCCTACCCCCGCCCTCGCCCTCCCCTCGCCGCTCGCACCGTCACGCCGAGCAAATCATGCGACGGGATCTTGAGCGGATCGGGAGGGTCGGCCTGTGGGGCAAGCGACCGCTCAGCTTTCGGCGGGCGCTTCGGTGCGGCGGCGGAGCGACGGCGAGTGCGGAGAGGGGAAGCGGCCATGGTCGGGTGCGGGCTCCCGCGCCTGGAAGACAATCTTGTATGAGCTCGCCTGGAGAGGCGGGAAGGCGTCGGGCGTCACTCCGCGGCAGCCAGCCTCGTCCGGACGGGGCGCGGAGCGCGGGAGGGGCGATGGGTCGAGGTGGCGTGAGCGCGCGGATGGCCGCGCCTGCATCGGGCCGACCAGAATGGAGTCGAGCTCCTGGTCGTGCTCGTCGCTCTCGGCAGACCCGACGTAGATGAGCTTCCACTCGATGTCCTCACTCAGCGGCGCGAGGCACTCGAAGCTCACCTCAAACTGCGGTGCGCACGCTCGCGCAGCGGCGTCAGCCGGGAAACGCGCAGCGGGCGCGCGGCGTGGGTGGCGAGGGCGCGCCTGGAAGTCGGAGAAGAACCTGGAAGGGTTGTTGAGCACCGACACGTTCGTGACGTTGATCATCGCCATCGTTACAGAAGTGGGGTAGGTGAGAATCGCCGGGCCGGGGCCGAAGACAGTTGGTGCGAAGGCGGCTGCCGCAGCGCGGGGTATTTTTTCTTTTTTAGGAATGCTATAGGAAGCCCAGAAAGGTGTGAGTGTGTGTGTTACACACGAAGCCCAGAAAGGCTCGTCTCAGAGGGTTTGTTTAGGTTTGTTCTCAGAGGGTACCCTCTGTGCCAAGAGAGGCCATCAACGAGCGGCTCAGAGGGTGCCTGGCCCTCTGAAGGCCTGTGTGCCGCCAAGCCAGCCTCTCTCGGCGCAGCCTCTGAGGCTACGACCTACGTACGGGGACCCTCTCTCTGACTGAGACCGGCCAAGGCAAGCCCCGCGAGGCCGCTCCTCAGAGGGAGTTTTCAGGCGGTATTTCAAGTCTGTCGTGATCCCCCACCAAGCAGAGAGACCCCCCCCCCCCCCCTTCCCAATTTTTTCGGATACCTCAAGTTCGAGCTCACGCGGACGCCGCGGCGCCTCATGGCCAAGCTGGAGCAGGGGACGGACGTGGAGATCACTACCTCCTCCTCGGGCGGCCGCTCAAAGCACATCCTCAAGTTGACGGGTCGGCGCCGCGGGCCGCGCGAAGCTGTCGTGCAGGGCTCGGCGCGGGCGCTGTGGGCGAGCCTGCAGCAGCAGCAAGCTGTGTGGTGCCGGGCGCTCGAGCATAGAGTAGCGCCTTTTAGTCATGCTCGCTGCTCTTAAAGTCATACATGTTTTACTGCCGCCCCTCCCCGCCCTCACTGGTCAGCGCCGTTCGTGGAGGGCTACAGGCAGCTCCGGCCTCCGCCCGGGGCTCTCGCCTCTGCCGTGAGGGGGCTACCCTCTGAGGTCACGAAAGCCCTCTGTGCCACTGTGCCGCGCCAAGACCATCAGACAGGGACCCTCTCTGAGGCCAAAATCAGCCAAGAGAGGCCACAGAGCGGCGGCACAGAGTCAGAGTCAAACCCTCTGTGCCGCCAAGCCAGGGGTCCGACCCGTCCTCAGAGGGGGGGGTCTGGGGCGCCTCAGAGCGCGGAGGTTATATAACCCCCCCTAGAAGTCTTGTGCGTCCACCCATACCGCGCTCTGCGCCGCGCGGGTGTGGTCCCACCAGTCGTTGCACGTTGGTTTGACTGTGTTTCACCTTCGATACATACATACTCCAAAGTATTTAAGAACCGCGAAGGTGGCAATGCTCGACGGCGTCAGGATGTCAGGAACACCCCCGACGCGGAACCCCGAGAGGGCCGGACGGTGCAGGGCACACACAGGCCACAAAAATTTGCCGATCCTCCCAGCTCGTTGCACGCGTCGCCAGCCTAGGCCCGGGCGCACCCCCACGAGAATTGGGTCTGCAGGCTCGGCGCCACGGGGCGAGGGGCGCAGCAGAGGCAGCTCGACGGGAAGAAGTCGGCGCTCATGCCCGGAAAGAGCCAGGCGCGGAAAGAACGACGGCGGGGGGGGGGTCGGCCGCTGCTCGGCCCGCGGGCGCTCCTCCGCCTTTTTACGGACTTCTTTTTCTTGTTCGCTTTCGAAAAAGAAACCCGCGTCCCTTGCCGCCGACTTGACTTCGGTGAAGATGGCGCGCTCTGCGCTGGTGGTCCAAAAAGGCTGGCCGTGGCACGACCCGACCCTTTGCGCCGTCTTCGCCCGCATTTACTCCCAGCGGGACATCTCTCTCATCGTGCTCTCAGAGTCTGCAGCGTGGAACGACCAGGAGGGCGCGCTCGAGGACAGCTTGGTGATCCGGGAGGCCGTCGTCCGCTGGCTGTACGAGAACTGCACGCTCGATGTGAGCACGCACCACTGGCGCGCGCGGCTTCCCGCTGTGCCTTCGCCGCTGCCTGCGCTCGCGCCTCTGCTTCTGCATCCTCGGCTGCCCGACGGCGCGCTGCTCGCCGCTGCCGAGATCGCCGACGAGCTTGCCGAAGAAGACGTTCGTGTTGCGACAGCCTTCGCCATGCCCGCCACAAGCGTGAGGAAGACCATCGTCATCTCCTTCGACACGTACCGCAACACCTTTCCGTTCGGCTGGGTCATCAAAAACTGCTCTTGCCGGCCGGGCGCATGCACGCACGAGCGGCGAGCACTCTCCTACCGCGATTCGTGTGCGCAGGCGGGGCACGCGGCGGCGGTCGTGGCGGACCCCGGAGGATCACTCAGCACCGATCTCGCAAACGGAGTGGAGATCCACGCCGTGCAAGCATACGCGATGGGCGGCGTCGGCCCCAAAGCCGTACACGTGAGCATGGACGAGGAGAACAAGGAGCTGCCGCTGTGGTGCAGCAGCTGCAAGAGAGCCCGCACCTGGGAGACGGTGTGCGAGCACCAGAGGCTGGTCTTCGGAGACGGCCGTTGCCAGGCAGAGGCCGGCCGCTGCGTGGAGGCCGGCCTCTGCGGCCTCTGAGGCGGACTCGTTTTTCTATATTCTTTCTTCCTCTATGCGGGGGGCGCGAGCGCCGTCGTGTGTATCTGTTGCGCACATAATATAATATAATAAGTGTGGATAAACGCTGGGCACACAGCCACACATGTCCAAACATTTCACTTCTGGACCATCGACCTCGTCCGCCTTGGAGCTCCCTCTTGCAGCACCGGCAACTCGCCCGCGAGCCGCGAGGAGTGCCGCGCCGGGGCGGGGGCTGGCGCCTTGCGCTTCGCCGTCCTCCCCTGTGACGACGCATGCTCGACTCGCTGTGTCTTGCCCTGCTGCGACTTCATGTGCGAAAGGCACCGCTCTTGCAGCAAGCCCGCGAGCGGAAGCGGGCCGCACCTGAGCTGCACCTCTAGCTCGAGCTCTCCCTCGTCCCACTCGCCCTCCACTCCACGTCCCTCCTGCTTGAGCTGCGCCGTGGCAGCCTCCCGCGCCCGCGTCTGTGCCGCCTTCCAGGCTGTGTTCTGCTTGGCCTCTCGCATCGGCGCGTCGACTGCGTAATCGATGTACTCCTCCGTGAGCAGCTCCTTGCTCGGCCGGAAGCCGTGGAGACTGTCAGGGTTGAACCAGTGCGTGGGCACGCCGCCGAGGTCGGCGTCCCACTGCGGCATCTCGACGTACGCGAGCGCATTCACAAACTGCATGACTGCTGGCGGGCGCTGCTGCTGCTTGAGTGCCTCTGGAGTGAGGCAGACCATGGGCGAGAGGAAGCCACCGTTCAAGTCGGCGTGCTGCCCAAACGCGGCGTAGTTGATCGCGCACCCTGCCGTCGTCTGAGGCGCGTCCCATGGGGGGTGCCGAGAGGGCGCACCGTAGTTGTGCGTGTGGTCGCGAGGCGTGTGCTGCCGAGCGTGGTGGGTATTCATCACCCGCTCCAGCTCCAGGTCGGCGCCCTTCAGGAAGGCGCCGACCGCAGCTAGCATCTCGCCCTCCGCCCGGCAAAATTCCTCGTCCTCGAGGAGGGCCGAGTTCTTGGGAGAGTACTGATTGACTCCACCGTCGCGAGGATTTGCGCGCCGGCCGCACATCCGATGGCATCCCTGCGCCCAGTGGTCGTGGTCCGCGCTGCGGCCCGGATCAACGTAGTGCAGCGCCATGAACCGAATCGCCGACTGGAGCGGCTGTTCTTGCTCCGGCGGCAGCACACGCCCCGTGTGCAGGCAGCAGATGGCCGCATCCATTCCGCCCTTGTTCGGGCCGTGGCGGACGAGCTCGCGAGTGGAGATGAGCACTTGGCGGGGGCCAACCTTGGCCAAAGGGGAGTGCTGCTTGAACAGCGGGGGAGCCGGTGGGTTGCCGACGACGCACTGCCAGTCGGGCTCGTCCATGCCCAAGCCGTGCCGAGCCCCGATGCTCATGACGGCACGCAGGTTCCCAACCACTGCTCGCACCGCGTCGGTCTGCGCAAATTGATTCGATACGAGCATTGCGATCGTCTGATGAAGGCTGCCCACCCAGTTGTGTCCGGGCGCTGGGCATTGCGGCGTAGTTGGGTCCGCGGGTGAAGCGGCCGGCGTGGCGGCGGCACGCTTCGCCGCAGCTCGCTCCGCACGCAGCCGCGCCATCGAGATTTTGCTCGCTTGGGCCTTTGCCAGCCGGCGTGCCTCGCTCGCGAGGGCAGTGGCGTGGTCGACAGCCTGGACCGCGAGGGCGCATAGGCCAGGCTGCTGCGGCGGGAGGCGAGCCATGGCTGTGGGCAGCGCCCGCTGGATTGGAATCGGCGGAGCCACAGGTGCAGCGTGCGCGAAGGGCGCCACGGAGCCCATCATGTAGAAGGGTGGCCCGGGCGTAAAGAATGGTAGCACGGCGGCAGGGGGAGGGACGGCGATGGGCTGTGGCTGGTGCACCGCGCTCGCGATGGGGTAAACCCTCAGCGGGGCAGGCACTGCCGCCGGCAGCCCGCCCAGCGCTGCCACCGCTCCTCCCGTCTGCGCGTCAGTCTGCCACCACATGCAAGCGGCCCCCGCCCCGCGGCCGCAACGGTATTATGCTCCTGTAAAGCAGCTCTTCGCGCGCTCAGGAACTACTGCAACCGGACGGAAAGCGGTCGCTTCTCTATTTGTATGATCTCTCTCTCTATTTGTACCAATCCATCCGCGTTATTCGTTGGCGCCGCCAAGTCTTGTTGAGCTTCGGGTGTTGGCCGGTGGTTGTGGCGCAGTTTGTGCGATGAGATAAAGCAACTCCCCAAGTGCGCCCACCATTCTCGTAGGAGGAAAGAAAGCTCTGACGTTTTTGTGTGGTCAGACCCCCCCCCCCCCCACACACACACATATCCCCCTGCCCACACACACCAGGCCTCGCGCCTCGGGCGGTGCCGGGGCAGCCCTGACCGTTTGCCCGCCAAAGAAAGCCAATTCTTGACTTGGGCCCTCGGGGAGGCGGCCTTCTCTCGAGGTCTCGAGATACACAAAGCGGCCAACCCGGACCGTCGGCGCGGCGGTCGGCGCAGAAAAAAAACAAAGAAAGAAAACGGACATCCCAAGCTAGGGCTGGGCATGTTGCCTCCTGTCCGCTCAAGTTTCTTATAACCGAACTGCGATGTAACCGAACTCGAGGAATTTGCTTTCGCGGGTCACAAGGCCACATACACCCTCGCCGTGTCTCTCCTGCGGCCTCGGCGAAGCCACGTCTACCACCTGTCTGCCACGACATGAAGCAACGGGCGGACACACCCGCTGGCGAGCGGACCAGACGAGAGCAGGGCCCACCGCACACAAGCTGTCCAATGTCTCGCCACAGTGCAGCAGCTGCCCCATGGATCAAGTCTGCGACCTGCAGTCGTGAGAAGCCTCCCGCCCCCACCGTCGACCCAAAGGGGTGCCAGCAGCCACCTCGTCGTAGCCCTGTGACAGGCGCATGGCACTTGCCAGCACGGCGCCGCCTCGAAGAGCACCGCAGGCTAGCTCTTACTACTCCTCATCCAGAGGACGGTGTACACAGGCCTGCACGCGACAGAGTACAACGGCCAATCTGCGTCGGTGCGCGCCCACGTGACTTTGGTTTGCACGTCGCCTACGTTCCCTGGAAGACGTTGGAGGTGATACGAGAGCAGCCGCATGCAAGATCCAAGATTGCAAGAAGGGAGTTTTTCTAATTGTATCTCGAGTACGTTAAACGTTGTCCATCCAGTGGTGCGAATGTCTTGTACCTTGTGGGGAGGAGCGAGCTGGGTAGGATGCGCTAGACGATTGATGTAACACACCGGGAGGGCGACGGTGATGACTTGGCGGACACACACACACACACACAACCCGTCCGGCGTCAGCGTCTCGCCGTCACCGCCTCCTCCCACACGCCGCACCGCTCGCACGCGCGGACTGCACCGCTCGCACGCGCGGACTCGCATCGCCTTGCTGACCAGCTCTCGGCCACAGTCCTACTCGCCGCGCCCGCTCGCTCGCCACGATCCCTCCCGCAGGTAGGAAGGCACGGTCCCCGAGCACCTCCCCATCTCGCCCGCGACAAGCGTCGCGCAAGGGACAGAGTCTGTCGCCGTGGCAAAAATCCCTCTCCCCGCGCAAAACACACGGTCGAGGACCTCGCCGGGATAGTGCGCCTTTGTGCGCCTCGCCGCGTGGTCGATCGCGGCACCCATGGCGGCGCGAAAGCTGGCCGCCTCGTCAGAGGTCAGGTCGGCGCGCTCCTCCGAGTGGGCCGCCCACCGCGCCGCAAAGGTGTGGTGGAAGGAGAGGGCCTGCGAGCTGTGGATCCGAAACTCGGGCCCGCCGCCGCCCGGCCGCTCCGCCTCGAGCACCGACTGCACGCGCAAGTAGTTGAGGCCAAGTTCGGGCAGCGGCGCCACGTCCTGCTCCTGCGCCTTGACCACGACCGGGTGCAGGCCCCACGGGGAGGGCGGGGTCAGGTCGAAGCACCTGCCGTCTCGCCCGGACGGCGGCGAGGGCGAGACAAAGATGACGCGGCCGACGTCCGTGCACACGCTCCGCTTCCGCTTCCGCTTCCGCCCGTGACCGGTCGTCGAGCCGCTCTCCTGCGCGTACCGCTTGCGAAGCTCCTCGCCCTCCATCTTCTCGCCCGGAAGAAAGCGGTCTCGTGGACGCACCTTGGGCACGTACCGGCCCTGGAGCGGAGCGCAGAAGGGTCCGTCGCGGGGGAGGGGAGGGTGGAGGCGGTGACGGGGAGGGGGTGGCGGTGAGGGGGGCGGTGGGCGGTGATGCCGCCACGCTCCACGGCGTGCGTCGCAAACCCGCGGCCGGCCCCCGCACTGGGCGAGAAGCCATCCGACTGGTCCCGACGTGCCCACCGTGAGGCGTGGCTGCGTGGGGCGTGGCGGCGGCAGCAGGGGCGCGGGGCGGGCCGGGAGGGAGAGGGGCCGCAGATGCGCGCAGCGCACATTGGGCATGTGTCTGCGAAGCCTCTTGGTCGCCTCCTCCAAGCTCAAGTGCGGCGGGACGTACGGCCGTCCGGCGCTGACACTGATCCAACCGCCGTCGCTGCGGTACTCACCCACCTCCTCGCCCTCGTCGTCGCCAAAGGTGGCCACAGGCGTCAGCGCGAGTTGCGGCGTGTAAACGGCGTCGTGCTGCTCGCCTCGGCGCGTCTCCTTGCTCCTGCGGCGGCCGATGTCGCGCCACGGAAAGTCTGCCGCGGCCGCGTCGAGAGGCACGACGTAGGTGCTGTAGTCGTCCTCGGGATTGACGCAGTCGGTGCCAAACACCGTCTTGTGAATCTACGAGGCGGGGACGAGCGCTCAACTGCGAGAGAGCCGGGACACGGACACAGCCCGCACGGGGCATTCGCCTGTCTCGCCGCAGCGCCAAATGTCTCCCATAGGCCGTGTGCAGTGAACTCGCTCCGCCACCGCTCCGCCTGCACTTGGTCGGGAAGGAGTCGATGCGGATCAAAGGCGAGGCAGCGCGTGGCGCGGAGCTGAAAGAAGTCGGCGTCGAGGATCTCGAGTATCACGACGGGCCGGCTGGCGCCCGACGCGTCGTCGCGCAAGAGAGCACACAGCAGCTTGTCGGCGCGCATGAGGGCAAGGGACACAGCTCGCACACCAAATGTTTTTCTTTCGTTGTATGAGGGTCAGCTCGGCTAGGGTTGCGCAGCTATGAACAGGAGCGAGTTCGTGCTGCGCTAGGCTCAGACGGCGTGTTCGCGCTGCGCTAGGCTCAGTACGGCGAGTTCGCGCTCTGCGGCAAGGCTCTCTTGCGGAGAATTTATCTCTCGGCTGCGTTGGCTCGCCAAAGTATTTGTTCTCGATGGCGCTGGGTCCGCTGACTGGGGCGGGCGTGGGTGTGCGTGTTTTGTAGAGAAGCAAAAACGCACGTCGTCCGGGTTCTGTCGTGTGCGTCGAGCGTGCGGGCGGAGGCGAGGCTGAGCCTGTGGGCTGTGGCGAGAGCTAAGACAGAGCAGTGCGAGAGTTACACACGACACACACGACACGACAGGGACAGGGACACAGACACAGACACACACTGCGCTCCCCTCAGCGGGTAGGGAGACGCGAACCCGACGGAGTCCGGTGGTGGGGGCCCACGCAGCCAGCCCCTCCGTTGCAAAGGTGGGTGCTGAGTCGCCGCCGCCGCTCGCTCTCGAAAAGCGTCGCGCTGCTGCCCGTTCCCGGAGCGACGAGCGCGAGTTTGGTGACCAGGGCGGGGCAAGGGGGGAGAAGATGAGGACGTCACCGAGCGGGTGGAGCTGCCGGGAAGGTGGTGGGCGGGGCGTGGATGCACCTTAAACGAGCGAGTAGCGGGAAGACCGTCGATACTCCGGCGGAAGAGTGCTCCCCCGGGTTGGAATCTTTCGACAGACATTTGTTGGGCTTTAGGGCGTGGGGGGGGCGGGCCAATGCCATGGCTTCTCCTGGAGTTTGAATTAACGGACCATGCCAAGTCCCTGAAGTTCCCTGAGTGAAACCCTCTCTGTCTCTCGCTTTTTTTCTCCCTCCCTCCCTCTCTCCCTCTCTCTCTCTCTGGCACAGCTTCGGCATTTATCGTAACGGCCTTCCGCACGGCGGGTAACTATGTTCGGCACCAAGAGGTAAAGAAGAAAACCGTCGCGCGCGCCTCCAGCCTCTTGCTTGCCGAACGACGCCACCAACTCGCTGTACGAGACCGACATGTCACGTGCGCACGTTTAAAAGACACGCCCCCACCCGTGGCCTCTCGGAGACTGTCCGAAGGGGCCGTGGGCATACGCGTCGTCCCGATACGATGCCGGCGAGCCGCACGCTGTCCGTTGCGGCGCGTGCGGCGCGCCAGCTCCGCCTCTCCTAGGCTGCCGGTCTCCCGTCGCAGGACGGACGTCGGTGAAGATGCTGGACAAGGAGATGAAGCGAGCGGCGCTTGAGAAGAAGAAGAAGCCGGAGCAGAAGAGGACGCAGCCGGGACGCAGCCGGAAGGTGAACTTCAGTTTAGCCCGCCCCGCCACCGGCCCCGCTGCCGTCACCGACCCCTCTTCGCACAGGCCCCGGGCAACAAGGGCCCATGCGGCGAGAACATGCGCAAGCGCAGCATGGCAGCCGACTCCGAGGAGAAGGTCCTGGCCCGCGCCGCTGCCGCCGCGGCAAAGGTGTCTCCCCTCGGTGTCCCCTCCCCTGCTCGGTGTCCCCTCCCCCTCGCCTCGCCTGTGCTCCCCTCTCTTGCCCCCGCCCCGCCCCCGCCCCGCTGCTCCCCGCCTCGCCTGGCATACGCCCAATCCAGGCAGCCAGCGTCCAGCCCAGCCCCGTCTCGCCGCACGGAGTCTCTCGCCTCGCCCAGCCTCACTTCGTTCATACCTGACCCGCCGGCGGCCCCGGGTCGCCCCTGCTTGCAGGCGCGCGACTCGGCCAAGCGCAATCTAAAGGGCGATCGAAAGGCTCGCAAGGAGCGGGGCGTCAAGGAGGCCACCCGATCGGGGTGGCATCGCCGCAAGATCGAGAGCTGCTGGCGGCACCTCAACGGCGCGACCATCGAGGGCGACGATGCACTGTGGATCGATGACGGCGAGGGCGGCACGAAGCTGGCGACAAACTTCGACCGGCTGGCCCTCGCGCTCGAGGAGCTGTCAAAGCTCCGCTGCGAGAACGAGATGTTCGACTTCGCTTGCCTCTCGATTCAGCGCGCCAATCGCATCTTTGCGGCGGGGCGAGGCGCGTTCGAGAAGGTCTTCAGCGGGCCGGGGGAGCCACTCGTGGCAACGTACCGGCTCGACCTCGTGGCCGACATGTACGAGGGGCCGCTCAAGGCGCAGGTGGAGCTCTGCGACCTGCTCAAGAATGTACACACGCTGATGCTCGAGTCGGAGTTCTACACGCGCGGCGAGGAGTACACGCGGGGCAAGTGCATCTACGGACTGCTGGTGTGTGAAAGACGTCTCGAGGCGGGGCGAGTTGTGCGGTCTCCCATACTCGACGCTGTGGATATAGGCCAACCTGCACGCGGAGGTGGGGGGGCAGCCCTCCAAGCGGCAGCAGGAGGCGCTCACAGAGGAGACGCACGCCGACGCCGAGGACGTCCGCAAGCTGATGGCGCTCGAGGCGGAGGGCGCCATCTTTGGCGAGACCACCCTCGAGATCTTCTATGGGACAAAGGTCTGCTACGCGGCGAGGCTGTCTGCGCTCTCGTTCGAGGCTGACTCGGAGCTGCGCGACGCGCTGCTCGACTTCCGCAACAACTACCACTCACAGGGGAAGCTCGCCAAGGGCAAGGGCAAGGTCAAGGGATGCCCAGGGAAGCTCGCGGTGAGGAATCTCGTCAACCACTGGCGCCACCACAAGGTCCCCCCACCCATCTGGGGGCACGGATACCGCATCTCGACCATGTGCTGGATCGGCAAGCGATCCCGCCCGATGGTGGCTGAGCGCGACCTCCGCCGCAAGTAAGGTTTGAACCGGAAAGGCCTTGCCGGAGCTCTTGTCTACTTTATCCCTCGTGTGGTGCGGAAGGCTCAAGGGAGGGAGGGAGACTGAGAGTGTATCTTCTCTGAATCGGCGTGCGTGTTTTGGTACTGGGGCTACGGAAGCGAGCTCAACGGCTCGCGAGGCTGGCGGTCGCGCGACCCGTGCGAGGTGCCTTGGCGCCTGACCCCAGGGGCGAGTCGGCGCCGGCCGCCGACTGGCTCTACTGCAGCGTCGACTGCATGCCCTCGCGGCGGTACTGCCAGCGGCCGTTCGGGGTCGAGTCGAACTTTTCACTGCGGGAGGGGACCGCGGTGCCGGTGCCGTTGAGAAAAATGTGACTCAACGATGTGTCACAGTTCGTCATATTTCATAGACGACATTTTTCTCAGAATGCCCCCTCCTTGCTTGGCGAGGAAACCCTGGTGGGCAGCTGTACGATGGGCGCAGCAACCGGGGGTGGGGGGGCGCGGCAGCTTAAATAAATAAATAAATAAAACGGACACCTCTACTGTGAGATGGGTAAAAAGGAACAGGTCCCCGCCCTTGCGATGTTTTTGTGCAGGGTTCTTTGCGGCAGCTTGTCTTTTTTCGCTCCCGTGTTTTGTTCTCCTCCACACCCAGATAGACGAGACACAACGAGATGGCTGAGTACTTTGCAGGCGGCGGGTATCTCTGGACGCACACTGATCCACAACGGATCTGGAGGCGGGAAACCTTTCGCGCCACCTCCGTCTCCTCCTTGCTGTCGTCGAGGACGAGGGTGCCGCCATAGTGAACCCCTTCTTCCGGAGCTGCCAGGCCAGCCCCTGCGCGCGTGTCATCAGGCGCGTATGCCGGCCAGAAGCACGCAAGCTTGTGCCGGAAGTAGCAGTAGAAGAGGCAGAGGAGGGTGGGCAGCGCGACGGCCCATGTGGCGAGCACAATGTGGCGATCGAAGGTGAGCGGCGCCTCGTTGCGGTCGCACTTTGGGTCGGGGCCGACGCCGACCCCCCACGCGGTGTGGTTGATCCGGATGGGCAGCGGCAGTGCCGCCGTCAGGCGGTGGCGACCCTCGTCGTGGGTGTGCACGAATGGCGGCATTTGGACGAGGTTGAAAGCATACCTGTTCGGCAGAGCCCCGGCGCCGCCAGGAGGCATGTCGATCTGGACCTGCTGCAGCGCCTCCTCGTAGCCCTGCAGGTCCGTGCGCAAGCGCTGCGAAATCTCCTCCACGCCTCGAGCCACGCCGAGGGCGCTCAGGGCCTCGAGCAGAAATGCTCTTGCCCGCAGAGTCACGATGGCAGTGTGCGCTCGCCACACTGCGCACATCGCACCAGCTGGGTCTGCGGGCGCCGAATGCTCGCGAACGTAGGTGAGCAGTGCCGATGCGGTGGCCGGGCGAAACGCGGGCCCACCCATGTGCGCTGCAAGGTCGGCTCGTTCGCTAGCCGAGATCGCCTCGGCCCCGACATAGAGCCTTGCTGAGCCGGAGCCCTCCGCTGACGGCGCAAGCAGCGAACGCATCATCCGGGTGTGCATCGCCTCGACCTCGTTGTAGATGTGCCTACAATGGACGGAACGCCCTCGCGCAAGGGTGGGACGAGTAGTGCTGCCACCCTTCCCTTCCCAAATCGCGCCCATAGTCAGCCGACGCCGCGCCATGAGCCGCTCGCGTCAACTGCCCAGCGACAGCTTCAGCCGCAGCAAGTACCTCACGACGCGTAGCCTCCTCGCTGTCGAGTGGGGGGCCTGGCGCATGGGGCCATGGTGCGCCTCGCGGGGTGAGACTCGTGCGTGGCCGCGCCACTAATAGGGCTACTCTCATCGCACCGAGTCTCTCGAAAGCCCCATTGCGTACGAGAGGGAGCACATCGCCGAGCATGAAGGCCTCTGCAGTGACTCCCGCCGCGGCGCGGAGCGTCGTGCCTGCAACATCCACTGCAGGTTTACGGCCACAGGATAGGGGGAGCAAGAGCCAGCATCAAGCAAGCCCACCGATGAGAGCCATCCGCCGGCTCCTCACTAAGCTCGGGGAGGCGCGGTCCCTCTTGTCGTAGATCACGGCGGTTCAGCCGCCGCCGCGACGGGTCTACCCCCGGTGGGCTCGCACGGCCCGACTCCCCTCGCAGAGGCCGAGTCAGCTCGACTCTCACCTCCCCCGACAGTTGACTCCAGGCCTCACCCGGGGCCCTCCGGTCCCGGCCTTCCGGTCCGCCGGCTGACCCGCTGTCTCCCCACGGCACCACCCCCCCCCCGGACCCCTCCCCCGGGTACCCCAGCCTCCGACGGGCCAGTTCCGGGCCCCCCAGGCTCCGCGTGGGTCGGAGTGGTGACGGCCACGCCGGCGGCGGGGGCGGAGGCGGTGGCGGGGGTGGCGGGTACGGTGGCGGCACTCGCGGTCGTAACGCCTGGTGTGGAGCCGCTGGGGCGGCCCCTTGACCCTGCAGCCGTTCCAGCGGCGGGGGCGGAGGTGGTAGTGTGGGTGGCGGAAACGGTGGCGGCACTGGCGGCCGCACCGCCTGGTGTGGAGCCCCAGCGGCGGCCCCTCGACCCAGCGGCCGCTCCAGCCGCGGGGGCGGAGGCGGTGGTGGTGGGGGCGGGCCTGGTGGCGGTGCCGGCCGCCGCAACTCCTGGAGCGGGGCCTCGGGGGCGGCCCCCTGCCCCTGCGGTCGTTCCAGCCGCGGTTCCACGCGTCGGCCGTCCACCGCGCTCGTGGGGGGGGGCCTAGCTCTCGTCTCCCCTCGGGAAGGGGAGGGGCCCGGATTCGCCGACGGCCCCGCCTCTCCCTGCATCAGGCCGTAGACTGCGCAGTAGCCGCGCCGCATCCCCCCTCACCCGGTCCCTCTCGATTCGGTCCCGCACCGACCGGATATCAAAGGCCGAGCTGTGTTCGGAGAGCGGGCCCGCCGATGCCACACGCCTCTTCACACAGCAGGCGTACGCCTTCATCGCCTGTCTCCCCGACGGCGTCGGTCCCGGTGCAATGTCGTTGACGAGGTAGTCCTACCCCTCCCACCGGAAAACCTGTCCAAGAAGGTCCGTCGAGCCAACCAGTCGTCTTGCCAGGCTCCGCACCTCCCGCGCCTGCACTGGCCTGAGAACGCCGGTGCCAGCCGCGAACGACAGACCGATCGCCCTAAGTTCCGCCAGGACCGCCTTCTCGCCCGCCGCCGCGGCCGCTCGATCCATCTCGGCCGATTTTATTATTGTTTTAAGTTTAAGCGCAGACCTCGAGAGATTTGAACCGGCTTTTCGCATGTGTTCAGTATAATGCGAGAAGGGACATCCGATTCCTGATCCTGTTTGCCCTATTCGCCGCGCTCGGCCCCCGCTCGCTCTGATCGTTGACGAAATAGACGCGCTCACAACGCGCGCACCACACATGAAAACACAAGCGACAAGGGGACACGCCACTGCGCGCGCCGCGGTAGCGTGGAAACGCACGTCTATCTCGTCACACCTATGGCGTCGGCGGAGGGTTCGCCGTCTCGGCCTCTCGCGTGCGCGCACGCACGCTGGCTGGCGTCCAGCTCGCCTCAGAGCGAGCCAGCGCGCGGCGGGGCCCTCTCGCCTGGCACGCCACGACGCTGCGACCGACCCACGGCGGCCCGCCTCCGCCACCTCTGCCCCCCCCACCGGCTCGGCGCTCCGGGCGGTCGCCTCAGAGCGGGATGTTGGAGTGCTTCTTCCACGGCCGCTGCACCTGCTTGTCGCGGAGCAGCTCGAGGTCCTCGCAGATGCGGGTGCGCGTCTCGCTCGGCGAGATGACCGCGTCGACGAAGCCGCGCTGCGCGGCGACGAGCGGGTTCGCAAACTTGGCCTCGTACCGCAGGGTCTCCTCCTCGACGTTCTTGCCGCGAAAGATGATCTCGACCGCGCCCTTGGCGCCCATCACGGCAACCTCGGCCGACGGCCACGCGTAGTTGACGTCGGCGCGCAGGTGCTTTGAGGACATGACGTCGTACGCGCCGCCGTACGCCTTGCGCGTGATGACCGTCACCTTGGGCACCGTCGCCTCGGCGTACGCGAAGAGGAGCTTCGCGCCGTGCCGGATGATGCCGCCGTGCTCCTGAGCGCGGCCGGGCAGGAAGCCGGGCACCTGTGCGTCGGGGGCCGGAGAGGTCGGGGGAGGGTCCGGGGAGGGTCCGCGTGGCACGGAGGCGGGGGCACGTCGACGAATGTGAGGAGCGGGATGTTGAAGCAGTCGCAGAAGCGGACGAAGCGGGCAGCCTTGGCCGAGGCGTCGATGTCGAGGCAGCCCGCCAGCTCCTGCGGCTGGTTCGCGACGATGCCGACCGTCGCCCCCTCCATCCGCCCAAAGCCGGTGATGATGTTCTTCGCGTAGCTGGGCGAGACCTGCGCGCACACGCCGCGAGTCAGTTCTCGAGTCTCGAGAGAAAGCAGCCACGCCAGTCGAGGGGGAGGCCTCGAGCAGCTCGCGGTCATCGAGCACGCGCCGCACCAGCGCGCCCATGTCGTACGGCACGTTGGGATCCTATTCACAGCGGCAGGTGTGAAGAGACGCTGTTCACAGCTCCGCCCATGTCGTACGGCACGGCGGGATCCTCGGGGACAATCCGGTCGAGCGCCGAGTCTTGGCGCGGGGAGGGCGACGGTGAGGGGCGGGGGGGCGGATCCTGAGCGGTCGCGAGGGGAGGGGCGGGCAAAGGAGAGGGGCGGGCAAGGGGAGTGGCGGGCGGGTGGGAGCGAGGCGCGGCAGGGAGGGGAGAGGCGGCGAGATGCGGAGAGGCGGCGGGATGCGGAGAGGCGGCGGCGAGGAGCGGCGGTGGGAGTGAGGCTCGCCTTTGCGCGCGCGCGAGTCCTCCGTCTCGCGAACCTGCGGGGCGAGGAGCAGGGTGAAGAAGGGCGGGGCGAGGAGCAGGGCGAAGAAGGGCGGGGCGAGGAGCAGGGTGAAGAAGGGGACAGGGGCGCGACAGGGGGCACGCCACCGGGCGTGTGTGCGTCCCGGGCGCCAGTGGGGCGGGTCGAGACGCCCTGGGCGGCGGCGAGGCGGGCCGTGGACGGCGGCGCGGCGGGAAAGGGTCACGGGGAGCATAGGGTCACGGGGAGCGTCTCGGAAAGTCGCACCGGCGGAGGCTCGCGGTTGGAGGAGGGGAGGAAGCCGACCAGACGGCGGAGAGCGGACATGGCCTCGAGGTCGTTGGCGGCGGAGAGGTGCGCCACGCCCGACGTGCGCGTGTGCGTGCGCGAGCCGCCCAGCTCCTCCGCCGTGATGACCTCGTTGGTGACTGTCTTGACAACCTCGGGGCCCGTCACAAACATGTACGACGTGTGGTCAACCATCATCGTGAAGTCGGTCATGGCGGGCGAGTAGACGGCGCCGCCCGCGCACGGCCCCATGATTACCGAGAGCTGCGGCACCACCCCCGACGCCTCCACGTTCCGCTGGAAGACCTCGGCGTACCCGGCGAGCGACGCGATCCCTTCTTGGATCCGCGCGCCGCCAGAGTCGTTGAGCCCGATGACGGGCGCGCCGACGAGCATCGCCTGGTCCATGACCTTGCAGATCTTCTCCGCGTGCGACTCCGACAGCGACCCGCCGAACACTGTGAAGTCCTGCGAAAATACAAACACCCGCCGGCCGTCGACGAGGCCGTGGCCCGTCACGACGCCGTCGCCCGGCGGCACCTGCTCCTGCATGCCAAAGTCGATGCAGCGGTGCGCCTTGAGCGCGTCGTACTCGCGGAAGCTGCCCGGGTCGAGGAACAGCTCCAGTCGCTCGCGCGCCGTCAGCTTGCCGCGGTTGTGCTGCGACGCGATCCGCTGCTCGCCGCCGCCAAGCTGCGACGCGAGCACCTGCTCCTCGAGGCGCCGCCGGACGGAGGCCGCCTTGGCGAGGTGCGGCGGCGCCGCCAGCGCAGCGTTCGACGAGCTGCTCCGCGCGAAGAGGCGCACGGAGCGGGCCAGTCCAGCCATTGATGAGAGATGTGTGTGCTCCGTGCCCAAGTCGGCGCGTGTTGGAAGAAATCCCAAAAATAACGAAACCTAGCGCAAGGCACTTCTCGTGCTCCAAGAGTGCGAGCTGCGAGGTTAGGTCTGGCTGTGTTTCTCCCCATCCCTTGGACTGCTTTTTTTTCTGTTAGACGACATGGAGGAGGGGAAGGGATGCGGCCCCGCGAGCGAGCATCCGAGGGATCTTCGTCATCACACGCATGCGGTCTCTCTCTCTCGTTTTTGTGTCTCTCTTTCGCTACGTGTTCAACGACGTTGAACAGTGTTTGACCACGGCGCTGTTCACAGCGCGCGCGGACGGCAGTTCTGCGAGTCCCGCTCCGCAGGACTTTTGTAAAGCATGCTTGTGACTTGGTATTGCTAAAAATCTCTCTCTCTGCTTGTG